AAATGCGGTAGTCAAAGTGCCACTAGATGTTCTAAACTCATTGCATATGCATTTAGGATCTAGTGGATCACTAACATCCTTGAAAATGTTGGAGAAAATATGCTAACACATGTGCACAAGGTGTTACACTTGGTGGTTAGCACATTTGAGCAAGGGGGAAGAAGACAGAGGAGATGCCAGTGTTGGTCAAGTGACCGAACGCTGGATCTGAATGCACCGGACGCTAACAAGTGAAAGCTTAGATAGTGATGCTAGTGGCAACATGGTGGATCAAAAGATGTATCGGTCTATGATTGAAAGCCTACTCTATGTGACCGCATCAAGGCCGGATGTGATGTTTAGTGTATGCATGTGTGCTAGATTTCAAGCCTCGTCAAGAGAAAGACATTTGAAGGCAACAAAGAGAATATTGAGGTACTTGAAGCATATACAAAATGTTGGATTGTGGTATCCCAAAGGAGCAAAATTTGAGTTGATTGGGTATTCGGACTCCGATTAAGCGGGATGCAAAGTTGAAAGAAAGAGCACGTTGAACACATGTCAACTATTGGGAAGATCACTTGTATCTTGGTCATCAAAGAAGCAAAATAGTGTAGCACTTTCAACCGCTGAAGCGGAGTACATTTCGGCCGGTAGTTGTTGTGCTCAATTACTTTGGATGAAGGCTACCTTGAGTGACTTTGGAATCAAATTCAAGCAAGTGCCATTGCTATGTGACAATGAAAATGCCGTCAAGCTCACCAACAACCTGGTTCAACACTCAAGAACAAAGCATATTGATGTCCGTCATCATTTCATAAGAGATCACCAACAAAAAGGGGACATTTGCATAGAGAGTGTGGACACCGAAGATCAACTTGCCGATATCTTCATCAAGCCACTTGATGAGAAGAGGTTTTACAAGCTAAGGAATGAATTGAACATACTTGACCTCTCCAATATGTGTTGATGCACTCTCATTATATGACATGCCTCTCCTTCGAGCAATTCAAGGTAAAAGTTGATTGGCATGGCATACATCCTTGCTAAGGACATGATTAGTGCATCTAGACATATTTCACATTTGAATAGGCTCATTCATAAAAATCAAATGAATTTGATGCTTGTATGGTACCACTATTGCTTGTATGCTTGAAATGATCTAGTGGTAGCATATGACATGTTTGTGGGCTTGTAAACCTAGTGTTTGATCTAGAAAATAAGCTATAAGTGTTTAACTCAACATGGTATAAGATAACCCTTATTTAGAGGTGTGAAGAAGCTTGTCCTTGGATCAAACCGAGTTAAATATCTTTTGCAAGTAATCTAGATTGAACCAAATTGGGAAAATGATCCTCATCTCACATGGTTTCACCCCAACCTATCTATAATTTGAGCTCACCTTTTATGCTAATTGTTGACAAAGGGGGAGAGAAACAAAGATATGCGTGATAGGGAAGTATTTGACATAGGGGGAGAGATATGAGATATATGATAAAGAAAAGGGATCAATTAAAATTTTGAGCACACAAGTAGGGGGAGCAAGCTCATAAACTTGTATGTTGCATTTGAATGTGCATTTCATATATTTGCTTGCATGGCACAAGTTTCAAATTTCAATATCCATGCTTGTGTGGTATATGCTAGTTATATGCTTGATTGATGAAATAAAAAACTAGCATGCATAGATAATCTAGTGATTGTATTTCCAAGTGGTATTGAGCTAAAGTAACTAGACTTATAATCATTTTATGGAAACTAGACCCTTACTTGCAATGTTGATCTCATGGGGTATTCTAGTTTTTGTATATGTCTAGTTACTAATGGTGCTGAGGATGGTATATTGGTGCACTCCGATTGGTATCACGCTTCAAAGGTCCATCTCTTATACCTTAGCATCATTTGGTAGAAATTGACTCCTATATTTCGTATCTAAGCATATGTGCAAGCTATAATCTAAACTCGTAGCACATATGTAGGGAGAGCAATTGCTACCACATGGAGTTCATGAAACTTGTCCATATCCTTTACACATCGTAAATATGCTTGGGCAAGCAACATGGATTCAAATGAACTTTAATTCATATCTTTGTATAAGGGTTGTTATCAATTACCAAAAAGGGGGAGATTGAAAGCTCTAGTTTGGTTTTGGTTAATTGATGAAACCTTAAGCGCTAACCTAGTTTATCAAGGTGATTATGAGATAGGTAGCACTACTCCAAGTGATAAAGCAATAACAAAGATCATGATAATGGTGATGGCATGGTGATGATCAAACGCTTGAACTTGGAAAAGAAGAAAGAGAAAAATAAAAGGCTCAAGACAAAGGTATAAATGATAGGAGCTATTTTGTTTGAGTGATCAAGACACTTAGAGAGAGTGATCACATTTAGGATAGATAACCGTACTATTAAGAGGAGTGAAACTCGTATTGAAATGCGGTTGTCAAAGTGCCACTAGATGTTCTAAACTCATTGCATATGCATTTAGGATCTAGTGGATCACTAACACCCTTAAAAATGTTTGAGAAAATATGCTAACACATGTGCACAAGGTGTTACACTTGGTGGTTAGCACATTTGAGCAAGGGGGAAGAAGACAGAGGAGATGCCAGTGTCGGTCAAGTGAACGGACGCTGGATCTGAATGCACTGGACGCTGACTGCCTGCGTCTGGTCGCGCTGACTTGGCGGTACAGGAGCTAGGGTACACCACCGGACGCTGGGTTGTGTCCAGTCGAGGTGGACCGGACGCGTCCGGTCGAGGAAAAACGGATTTAGACCCTTACTGTACTCGACCGGACGCTGTGGCTCCAGCGTCCGGTCAGTTTAGCCGGAGCGTCCGGTCAACACTTAGCCGTTGAGATCTGATGGTTCAGTTTTAACTCAGAGTGACACATGGCAAAAATCAGTGGACCGGACGCTGAGTCCAGGGTCCGGTCAGTCTGACCGGAGCGTCCGGTCAGAGCGCGTTTTGCCCAGTGAAGGGGTATAACGGCTCTATTCCGTGGGGGCTTCTATTTAAGCCCCATAGACGGTTGAAGCTCAAACTCTTGGCCATTTTCATTGATATAGCAACCTTGTGAGCTTAGCCAAAGCCCTCCCACTCATCTCCATCATGGATCCATCATCATTGTGAGATTGGGAGAGAATCTAAGTGCATTGCTTGAGTGATTGCATCTAGAGGCACTTGTCATTCGTGTTGCGCTGCGGATTTCGCTTGTTTCTCTTGGTGGTTGCCACCACCTAGACGGTTGGAGCAGCGGTGGAGGATTGGCACGAGTTGGTGATTGTTCGTGGCCATCTCCGGTGATTGTAAGGGGAGTTGTACCTTTCCCGGCGGAGTGCCGAAAGGTAACTCTGGTAAATTGCTCGTGTCATTGAGTTACCCCACTTGTGGGTCGGTTCTTGCGATGTCCTATCGTGTGGACGAGGTTTGTGAAACACCTCTTAGCCACCGAACCACCAAGTGTTGGTCGACACAACGGGGACGTAGCGTGTTGGCAAGCACGTGAACCTCGGGAGAAAATCGATTGTCTCTTGTCTTTGGCATTCTCCCGGTGATTGGCTATATATTCATCTTGTGATTTGTTCATCCCCTACACGACGGTATAATCACCCTACTCACTTATTTACATTCTTGCAAACTAGTTGATACAAGCTCTTTAGTGTAATTAGAATTGAGAGCTTGCTTTATTATTTACATTCATTTAGTTGAGCTCTTTAGAGTAGCAAGATTGAGAGCTCTTAGTGAGTAGTTCATAGCAAGTTTATGTGCCTAAGTAATCTTTGCAACTAGAATTGTTGGATAGGTGGCTTGCAACCCTTGTAGAGCTAGAGCAAGTTTGTATTACGCTATTTGTCATACTAATCAAATTGCTTAGTTGATTTGTAGACTTTTAAATAGGTTATTCACCCCCCCTCTAGGAATATTAGGACCTTACAATGGGTCATGAGTCGGATCACATATGAGATATAGAGGTCGTAACCCAATATGTATTGGAATCAAACTTTGTCTTCATCGTCACTAGATAAGAGTTGAGTATAGGTCATAAGTCCAGGTTAGGTAAAAAAAATATGATGAATTTTTTTTTCCACCATCCGGGTAGACAGAGGAGGTGAACGAAAAAATAGGATGAAATTTTGAATCTTTAATTAATATTAAGTATAGATATAGATTTGATATAACTTATAAGAAGTGTTTGAAATGCCACGAACGATGCACATATTTGTTGCATAGGTAGCAACGAACTGTTTTGCCATTGTCTTATATTAGCGCAATGCTTCCTAACCTTAGTGCAATGAATCCAAACAATAGAAGCAACAAATTTCCAACCTTAATAATTACCCCATAAGAAACTCCATGTGTTTCGCTGTTTCATCCTTGAACTCGAGGATTATCATGTTACTTGATAAGGTTATGATAGTCATTTGAATGGAATTTTACTTAAAACTACCACTTATTTTCTCGATAAGTTTGAATGATGAATATCAAGTACTGACCCACAAACCCCAAAAGCGAGTGAAGAAAACAAAGAGCATAAGATGGTTGGTCAAATGTCGAAGCGGGAGCCCAGCTCAACAGGCCATCACAGGGAGGAAACGCTGTGCATTTTTAGCATTTCTCTGGAGTACAATGGACACGAACAGGCTAACAGCATCTGTTAGAAACTACAAATACACAGTGATGCAACTCAGACGCTCGTAGACACCACTTCAACATCGTCATCCGCGTCGCTTCCCCCGGTGTGCGAATATGACACATCCTGCAAATCGTAAAAGAACTTAGATCTCCTGGGATATGTGCCAATTTAAAAGGCTCAAGGGAAAAGCCCTATTAATCGGACCAGACATGCATGCAAGAACACAGGTTGTGCAACTACGGAATCATCCAGTTTTTTAGGTGTTGGCAGAAATGACAATTGCTCCCATGACCAAAATGCTGCAACAATGATTTGCAACTCTATTTTTTGTAGTTGATCTTTTTTATATAAAAAATATCAATTGTGCAATTTGAAGATCACTACTGCAGAAATTTTGGTACCAAAATTTTGTTCTGCAAAACATGTTGTAAAAGATACATGATATAAACATGAGAAGCATAGGCTTCATTTTAGACTAAAAAAGTGACACACTTAACTACCAACGTCTCATGACTTTTGCTTACCAGATGTCTTAACTGATCCTCCTGGCCTCCCTCTCTAGCTGCAGAAGATCCAGGAGCATGCTACAGATAGAGACATCTCACATGAGCCTCGCTTATGCTGAAATTTGACTTATGCTGATGCTTATGCTGAAATGTTATGAGAGGAAAACACTGTTCCATGGCTAGAAAGTAGTGCCGAATAAGCTCAAGCGAACAGGGCGTATACAATACTCAGTTATCCTTTGCGTACCTTGGGATCACTACCTAACAGTGGCACACCACGCACACTTTGCTCCAAGGACTTAAACTTCTGCTCCCAGGTTTCATTTAACCCCTGCAAGGCCTGATTAATCATCTGCTGCACCTGCTCCTGTGTGAATTTCTGTCGTTGCCCATTTTTACCAAAACAATCTGGCATGGACTTTGCTACTTCATCAACCTTGTCCTTGTCAATGATACCAGTGAGCCCATAGTACCTTCCACGGTTCCGTCCCCCTACTTGCTGCACCCATGCAACGTGGGGGTCTATTTTCTTATCGCCAGCCTCCTCCATACGTTTCGTGAAGCCCTCCTGAAAAATGAAGTGGATACAAAACACAGTTCAGCAACAGTTAATAAGCTCTCCAAACATTTTGCATGTTGCGCCCAATTACTTCTAAATGGTGCAAATAACCCAAACACTGAGGACCTACCACAGTTCGCTTTGCTCTCTCACTGACAAATTCCCCTGTGCCACCTTTACGCCTATGGGTCTTGTTGAATACCTCTAGTTCTGACACTGGCATCCCACCATTTTCTATAACCTATATTCAATTAAAAAACAATAAGTAATTGGTGCTGAAATGAGTTAACCAAGGAATTTGTCTTTATGTCTTCACCATAAGCTGCCTGTGCATGGCAATGCTCCGTGAACCCGACGTGTGATGAGCACGACCTTTAGTGAATCGGTTCTTCCTGTTCTGGGAAGACATCTTTAAGACTTCTTCGTTGGCCCAGTGCTCGCATAACCTTTCCCACCAATTCGGAAGCATCCATGCAGGGGGGAAAGGTTTCCACAGCAAGGGGTCTTCGTCATCACTTCTCTCTAATGCCTGCTGGTCCTTGGGTTCTTCTTCTTCTTGATCTTCCTCTTCTGACTCTGCATGTCCGTTGGACCTATGTGCACCTGAAGTTTCATTGGATTTGTCTACTGCAGTAAACTTTGCTCTAACATTGCGCTTCTCTTGGCTTAGGATAGAAGCAAACTGCCTTGCTGCTCTACGTTCAAATACCTTCAGACACTCTGCTTCTCGGCCAGGGGCCCACTTGTAGCGTTGCTAGCACAATTGAAATATAAGCTCAATGGTCAAAATGTCCTCAATAACACTCCATAAAGCAAATGTATTCAGCTAATTTACTTACAAGAAATTCATTCAAAATAATATCCCTTGTTTCTGGAGGATACTGTTGCCAGTGGAGAACCATTTCTCCATTGGGTGGATCTTCTCTTCGCTGACCAGCTGGCAGATAGGTAGACCCAGGGTACTTCTGCTTCAAAAGAACAGTGATGGTAGAGGCCACCTTAGGACAAGGTGGATTGACATCCCATTTGCTGCCAAGTCGACTCGTCATGAACATAACAAGAGAATATATTAAGAATTAACTTCGTCAGTTCATTGATACACATACTCAATAATATTAGGTGTCAAGACAGGCCTGTCAACTTCCCTTCGTGGTTGGGTTAGTCTTGTAGGTTGATGTCCACGTCCTCTACGCTTCCCTGATGATTTCACAACAGATTCTAATAGGGAGTGGCCCCTCTGTGCATCCTCCTTAATGAGTGATTAAAATAAGCATCCAAACAATGCAAATATTTTGAACGTGTAGTATTTATGCAGAAAATTAAACCACGGCACTCCGGCTAATAAAATTTACAGGATATTAGGAGCTAATTTTACTTTATATAAACACGTATCACATGTGCGTGGTGGAAGGTTGATGTGAGTACTAGACAAGTTGGATAGTACAGATTAACTTGTCATTGGAGAAGGTGGATATGTGATAGGCATTAGGGTGGTATTCTCGAAATCACAGGAGATGTGCAGCTCTCATGCGCGGTCAAGGAAAAAAACAGTGGCAGACTGGTAATGAGGTGCTGCAGATTTTGCTGGCAGCCTGGCAATAATGGTCGTTGGGCAAAAGGGCGTACCCAGTGCAGAGAGCTCCCACTCTGTGCGGGGTCTGGGGAAGGGTGTTAGTGGCAAGCCTTACCCTCGCCTGTGCAATGCGAGGAGACCGCGACTCGAACCCGGGACCTTCCGGTCACAGGCGGTAAGACTCTACCGCTTGCACAGCCTGGCAATAATGGTCGTTGGGCAGTGTGGCAAATTTTTAAGAGAGGTGGCCATGGCTTCAACCAATAGCCACGGGTAGGAACACAGATAAGTGCACCCAAGTCAGTGGAATGAACTGAAGGTTCTCGTACCTGTTGCCATTGCCCTTGCATATGCACATCATGAAATCGGGCATCTGGTGAATGTGGCTGCTCGTCACCACTTCTATCAAGCCAGTGTTCACCGGGGACCTCTGGAGGGTACAATTGACTGTAGCAGAGTGGGAGTTGCCTATCTTGAGATGCATTATGATTTGACACAGGTGGTCCAGTGGCTGCATCAACTCTGCCTGACTGGTTTGAGCTTGCTTGAGGCATTTGAAGCTGAGGCGATGGACTGCGACACAAATTGGAAATGATTTTATCAATGTTTAGATCTAAATCCGAATTACATTGATTCGAAGCAGCTGGCTGCTGGGCAGGCTCATTGTTGATAGGATTTTCTGGCTGCTTTGACAAACGTGCACTACGCCTAAGATGGGGGCCTCCATTTGGATAACAAGGCAAGCCCTTCTTTTTCCCCTTCTGACCACTGGCAGTCCCACCGCTCCTTTTCCTCTTCAGATTCCATCCAGTTGCCTTGCTGTGATACTCACCTTGGTCCTGTTCAACACGGTTGACTTGATTTGAGGTCTCTATTGTTTCATGCTGGAGGGTACTTGATACAGCTCGATATTCATTTATGTGCTCTCCTTGACTTGCAGTGTCCTCAACAGGTTGCTGTTCTTGGGCACGAAATGAATAATTGGAAGGACGAACTTGTGCCCGAGAGGCTGAGCTTGAATGTACGGGAGGCTCTAGACGTACCACGTCAGTAGATTCAAGACAAGCAGGCAATTTAGTCTTCCTCTCGCTAGCCTTTGCAATAGTCTTACTGAGTGGTTCAATACGTGACTCCTCTCTGTGAGCTGAATGGATACTGGGCTCTTTTTGTGCCAACAGGGTGTGGATTGCTTCTGTTCTGGAAGAACTGAAGGCCTCCTCTCTATGAACTGAACGAGTCGGGTGATTATACTTTTCTACTTGACCCTGCTGCACAGAAAATAATGCAACAAGAAGTAAGAAAATAAAAATAGGTGGAGTAGATCTATGCATAGAAGAGTACAGAAAAAGGAAATCCTAATCTAAGAGATTCTGCAGAAATACAACTGCATGACTGTCGCTGAAATAGGCAATCAGGACATCTGAATGGTATATTCTATCTATCAGATTTGTCTTCCGTGTCCTAGAAAATCTCCATACTTTATTTGTCCCTATCAAGCCCTCCTCACCAAACCTCTATTCAAAATTTTTAAAAAACTTTCATAATGCAGAGTGGCAGACATTAACAAATAGTCAGACCCATGGTTTCCTTTAATAAAAAGACATCCTAACGTCCAATGCAGTGAATCAGAGCCTTTGAGCGGTCCAAAAGCAAATGCAAACTAAAATACAACCATTGTATCGCTTGTAACCCAGAAATGCTACGCCTCGCAATCAAAATGCAGGTGTAGCCTGTTCTTGCTCAACTCACCATGAAAAATACTGCTATGTAAGACAAGACAAACATCAGGATTTCAGTGGAAGTGTAATAGGGGATATTGCTGAGTTAATAATGACAGCTTCATTGGGTTGGGACAAAGGCAGAAAGTTAAACTAGTATACCAAGCGCGAATAAATCCATGTGAAAAGGAGTTTTAAGCAAGTGTTTCTAGTAAAAGTCCTAAAACACTTTGATACGCACCTCGAGACGCCGGTGTGGGGATGGCCTCAAAGTAATGCCGGCTGGGGGCGGCGCCAGGACTGAGACTGTGGCGTAGGGTGGCGAGGCGAGGTATACCCGGAGACGCCCGCCGTCGACCGTAAGCTCGACACTGCAAAGAGGGCACGCGAAGCACGCGAGGCCCGCCGGCACGCTCAGCAGCGCGGAGCAGGCGCCGCACGGCAAACTCGCGGGTTCCGGCACAGGCACGGGCACGGGTACGGGCACAGGCACTGGCGCCATGGCGGCGGGTCGGCGTCTTGGGATGGGCAGCGCCCTGCGCGGGCGCGGGGGCATGAGCTCCGGCGGGAGCGCCTGCTGAGTCCCGCAGTCGGGGCAAGCGAACTCGGAGAGCCCCGGCTCCACCTCCAGCGTCTCGCCGCACCCCGCGCACCGCACCTCGACGAATTCCGGCGGCGGCGCCATGACGGCGGGAGCAGTGGTAGGGTTGCGCTTATCACTCTCGGGCCCTTGGGGATAGAGCAATTTGGGGTGAGAGAGAGAGATGAGTGAGACGCGACGGCAACTCCTAAAAACCGATCAACTGGAGCCGTCAGGAAAAAAGGGCTACGCGCGGGTTTCAGCAAATTTAGCTCCTTTGCCTTCTGCTTTCTCCGACTCCACCTGCGGCTGCATATGCGCAGCTAACAGACCCTGATTGAGTAGTGAAAAACTTGCGTCAAAACTCAGATACATTCCAGTATTTGTTCTGTTCGACACTTTGATTTGAGTAGGGACTCTCTGGTTTGAGCAGGGAAAACTTACGTCAGAACTCAGATTCATTCCAACATTTGTTTTGTTCTTTGTTTTGTTATATGGATGAAGTGTCCTTTCATGTAAATACAAAAAGAGGAGCCAAATAGTAGGAGTAGAATGAGTTTAAAATAAAAAGACAAATGGTGTAATTATTTTAATCACGTTATCACGCTTTGTTGGCCTTCACTTTGTACTTTTTTTTCTCTTATATATATTTTTACTAGCCACTTAAAAGATTCAAATGGTAATCCATGTAACTATACGCCGTGAGTAAATGGAATGTCGAAATGCCATAAAAATGGCATGTATATCTCTTGATATAATATATTGCAGCGTGCCTACTTCCTCGCTAACAACACTAGATGTGCTCATGCCCCTAACATGCCGATGACATAGAACCATCTTCCATGGCTGTTATATGTCTCCTAAATGTGCTCCATCTGTTTCAAATTATAAGAAATTTTGTCATTTCTACTATATGCATAGTAAAAGCTATGAACGTAGAACGTCTTTCAATTTGGAACAGAGGGAATATCACAGTTTAAGGAGTCTTATAGAAATATCATGAGTTGCTAGTATACATATGTGATTTAGGTCCATTACATAAGAGGTGTTAGGATGATCATTTTTGTTGTTTCAAAGCTTTTGTTCCTTGTGTCTTAGAGGCTAGAGCAACTTCAAGAGCCTCTTTATAGCATTCAACATTGTTTAGAATAGAGATTTTTTTTGTTGGAAAAATGTCCTTCAATAACCTTTTTAATGAGATCTACAAATATTATCATCCTCTATTTCGGATTTCTCGCTAGCCCACGCTGAAAAGTGAGGTTATCTAAATTGTTTGAGGCGGAAAGATATATAGAGAGAGTTATTATTATTCATGGTTCTCAAAACAATATTTTAGAGAGTGAATCTAAGAAGGGTCCGTTTGGATTCTTGAAATTGAATTCATTCTAATAATTACAATTTAGATTAATTAAGCTAATATAGTTGTATATGGAATATATTTGTATATTTAATGTTAGGCATACATGTGACATACTTATATGTTGCATTTCTATTGTAGGGAAGTGAGTTGAAGAGTGTGCTATAAGTTGGAGATAGAATTATAGCATAGTGATATATATAATCTATTTTTATCTCTCACCATATGAATTTGAGATAGGCTTATTTATGAGCTTGAGAAAGTTATGGAATATCAAATTTCAAGTCAAATAGCCTAATCCATTATATAGATTTTAATTCCTCTAAAATAAAAGGATCCAAACGGCCCCTTAGAGATATCTTTATATAGCCATATGGATACAAATTTCTCCTTAGGTAGTTGCACGGCAAGTAACGATTGAATGCAAGAAGACTCATGAATGAAATCAGTCAAACCTCCTACTCATGCTACCCCCTCTTCCTGATAAGCCCTATCTCCATGTCCTCTTATATACCGTCAAAGATTTTTCACGTCTTGTTATGCTAGATTTTTTCCATATACATGTGCCTTGACTTCTTTGCATGTCACCTAGATTCTTGTTGCTTTTTTTCATTCTAATAATTACATCCTGAGGGTTGTGCAATTTGAAAACAAAATTTTTTACATATTTCAGGGTGTTTATTTGAGTAAATCATCTTATATACGTGCATTATAAATACTTAGGGCTCCTTTGAATTATAGGATTTCAAAGGAATTTTGGAGGAACACTGTTGACAAAGGAAAGTTTCCTATCCTATGGTTTGGCTGGCAAGTACTATTCCATAGGATTTCATTCCCATGTGTTTATTCCATACGATTTGTAACATCCACAAGCTCTTGGAAAAATTCCTACGCACGAAGTACGAGAGAGTTGAATGCCGATGCTAGCAACTAATGATCTATTATGGCTTGTTCTACCCAATCAAAGAGAGGAAACACATACAAAGTATGCACTTGGTGTTATTTTTTATTCAACCTTGACATTCCTGCAAACACAAATCCTTTGATTTTCCTGTGGTGTTACCAAAGAGCTTCTCATTTATTGTCATGTGCTTTTGCCTATAGGATTACAGGAAAAAAACATATTAACTCCTACGTTTTTCCTATTTCTACATTTTCCTATCCCGTGTTCCAAAGGATAACTAACATTCGTTTAGCCAACTAGTTTGCCCACCATCCACCAAGCTTTTTTAAATATTCTAACTAAATAATCATTTAGCGGACCGGTGACTCCTCTAATCTAGCGCTTAAATGTTGATTATGTAGGTTGAGGCAACCTCTAGTTTTTGTGTACAAGTATATTTTGCCTATCGAAGTTAGATGTATATTTAGCTATGAACGTTGTAACAATATATATCGTTATAACAAGTAATACAATATATTTCAGATATAAAAAAAATATACTGTGTATCTCATATATCAAAATTTTAAAGTTTAACCTTAAAAGACATTGTAATAAAGCAATGTCAATGGGCAAAGGCAAAGCTGCAGATTGCAGTAGCTTGAATTGCTGTCGGGTTAATCACCTTATTTATCCGTCATATGAGAGAAGATGACACGCCGTCACCGTCACCGTCACCGTCACGCCTCGTCGTTAACTCTGATCCCCGTAGCCGTAGGCCAAATTGAGTAGCGCCAACGCGAACGCGGAGGGAGGGGGAAGAAGAGAAAAAACCCATCCAAAACCTAGCCGTCGCTTCCATCTCCCATGGCGCCGCCGCCGGGGATCGTTGAGGTGCGTTGCGCAGGCTGCGGGGAGACGCTGGAAGTGGAGCCGGGCCTCACCGAATTTTGCCTGCCCCGACTGCGGGACACATCAGGCGCTCCCGCCGGAGCTCATGCCGCGGCGCCCCCGCCGCGCGCTTCCGCTTCCCGGGCGACGTGCCCCACTCGCCGCGCCGTCCCGCATCGCGTGCGGGGGATGTAGCGCCGTGCTAAGTGTGCCGCACGGCCAGGGGCGATTCGCCTGCCCGCTCTGTGGCGCCGAGCTCGCCGTCTCGCCAGTTGCTGCCATTTCGGTCGTGGCGCCGCCCGCAGCAGTCCCAATTAGTCCCAGCAGACCGGCGCAGCCTTCTGAGGTATTACTATGCACCGGATGTTCTCCCCAGTGTTTCTGCTGCACTGCATTGTTACGCCACTAAGCGCCTAAGAGAGCTCTGACATGAACAACTGACCAATGTCTGTATTCTATTTTTGTTGAAGTTGCTGTATCTAGTGACACTAATTTGATGGTGTATCTAGTGACTTATAGATGAACAACTGAAGTAGATTATGAAAATATATTTCATTGTGTATCTAGTGACACTAATTTGTTGTCATAAATATTGGTGCTCTTTCCTATAAATTTGGTCAGACTTCAAATAATTTGACTTAGGGCAACTCTAGAAGTTAATTTATTTTGGAACGGAAGGAGTATATTTATAAGAAGTAGGGGGCAGCCCCTCCTGATCCATAAAAAAATGTTTAAATAAGGTCACATAAAATTTGGGTTTCTGAAACCATTCTTGTTCTGGAATACGTTGTTGGACGTTTTTAATAACTTTGTCCACTGTATATTACTATTCTTCTTTTTTTTTTTTCTTTTGGCAAGCATACAGATACAATTGGTCACAATATAAGTGCCATTTTTCATTACTTTCCAAGTCCAAAGCTTTTACAATTCATCTTTTACCATCAATATTTATTACTGTATTTTTTTTTTCCAAATCTACACTGTTAAGATCACAAAAGTAATTTTTGTGTAGGCTGGTCAAGACTGGCAATAGTTGGCTGTGCACCTCATAGACACTTGTTTTATGATCAAAGGGACATCTGTATATGCTCTATCTCATGGTTCATTTTTCCTCTCTATGTCATCTTTGCTATGGAGCAGGTGTGTCCTGGGCCTTCAAGTCAATTAACTCATGCAAGATACATTCAAAGGCCCATTCATTTGGAGCAGACACATGGACAGCATCCGAGACATTCCTTTAGAGAAGAGCCATTTACTTCATCCAGAGCTGACACTGGCACAGAAATTCCTGTGGTGGGAAGGCTACAAAACGAGCCTGCTGACCCTTTGTCACAGAGACAAGAGTCACATATTGAGCCACTCGATGAGACTATTCCCAGGCCCAGCAAGAAGAAATCTATATTTGTAGCTAGCCCTGATTCTTATCCTGTAAGAAAGGTTCATGAAGAGCATCTTAATCAAGCCTTGTATGCATCAGAGGAACAAGGAATGCCTTCAAACTCTTCAATTCATGCAGACAAGGAGGAACATAGGTTTCCCAATGACACAGTTACAGTGCGCAGCAAACAGAAAGTTGGAAATGTGGTTGCCCCTAGTATTCTCGAACAGGAGCAGACAAAGTCTTTGAATCAAGCTGTGGATGAGCAGCAGGCAGATGAAATTCCCAAGGATACAGTTCATGCAGACAAGGTGCAAGTGGAGTTTGCCAGCAAAGCTGGAAGCTGTAAAAAGAGTGTTGGAGGTAGTAAAGGAAACCAAAAGAGTAGTAGTAAGATTTTAATGAATTCTTCAAATGAGTTGCCTCAACTCAGGCGTAGTAAGCGCTTGGTAAAGGGATCACATGACGTACTTGACATTGATCCTATTGAGAAGATCGATGCTCCTTCGAATCAAAATCTGTCTGAAGCTCCAGAGATTGAAAGGACACAAGCAGATTCTGACTCTAGTTCTCCTACTCGGTACCGATTTCCTCTTGATCGCTCTAATGAGTGGGATGTTGTTTGTGCAACTACACCACCTGCTTTTAATCATTGTACACAACAAGCTGAGCAGTTTCCACGAACCCAGATGTACTCTCCAGAGACTAGGTGGGCACTTCCAGTTGCAAGCTCAAATTCATGGCATGACAATGAGATACCTCAGGAGAGCTTTAGTGGGGTCGGCCAACTTGATAGAGGCTATTCAGAAGTGCATTCAAATCCGGCAGAGATGCAAAATCAGGATATGAATGGGCCACTAGTACAAGAGATTTGCAGCGACAAGAACTGTTCTGGACATGGACAACTGAAGCATCACAACAAAAACTGTTCACATTCAGAGTTTGGAAGGCAAAAAAGGAATGGTTTCACTTGCCCTTCTCCAAATGGTGGGGGGCATCCTGTAGACCAGTCCTTCTCTGGAGCCTGCCTCCAGAACCTGTCTGCTTCATGCAGCCGCCTTGCTGCTTCTGCTACCACTACATTGCCCACAATCACACCGCCTTCTACAAGTAAAAGTCTTGTGCCTTTCCAAAGCCACACAACTGTCTCTATTGAGAAACTCTCTATCATTGATGTGCGCTTCTAAATCTTGCAGATCTACCACTTAACCACAGCAGTCGAACATCGCTGCACCAACAGCCGCCATCCAGACTCTACTCACAGGTTCCTTCCCCCAACCCTAACTTGCATGATGGTTCGAAAATGTTTGTATTAGGTTTTAGTGCTTCGATTAAAAACATAAAAAAAGGGCGTACCCAGTGCAGAGAGCTCCCGCTCTGTGCGGGGTCTGGGGAAGGGTGTCAGTGGCAAGCCTTACCCTCGCCTGTGCAATGCGAGGAGACCGCGACTCGAATCCGGGACCTTCCTGTCACAGGCGGTAACTCTACCGCTTGCACCAGACCCGCCCTTCTTTCGATTAAAAACATAATAGAGTAAATTTCACAAAAGTACTCTTTTGTTGTCACTCCATATCACAAAATTGTACTTTTGAGAATCAATTTCACAAAACTTCAATTTTATCTGCATGCCTTGTAATTCTGTAAAACTATACTTATATTGTGTCTCACAGCACTACACTATTTTTGTCATTTGATCGACGATATAAGTGTAGTTTAGCCATGCAAACTCTTAAAAGTGTAGTTTTTTCTTTATGTTAGAATTTCTAGCATATATCTATTTTGTCCTAAGCAACTGTCTCAAAAATCTGCGATGTACCTTTTGTATGGATTGTACTATATCATGTGCATATGCATGATTTTATTACGTGTGGCAGCCATGAGCTTTCTGATATAAAGCCGTTTCAGGATGCACCATGTGGCGATTTGCTGCCAGGGCCAACTAGTAACTCATCAAAAAAGCGCAGGGGACGTGCCCCTGAAAAACTAATGGAACCACGCAAAGAAGCTGAAAGGCCCATGCTGATGCCCAGTGGTACTGAGTAAGTATTGTCCGTGTTTGTCTATGTTTGTTGATGTTTAAAGCACTTTTACATTCAGAGCTGCATTGTATGACAAATTTGCATGAACTAGCAGCTGGATTGTGCAACCACCATGTCCTAAAGTAGCAAATACCCTCGCCGTTCTTATCAAGCAGAACTATCCTGGGATCTATGTATCAGATGATACCATTGGAAATGGCCAATCATGTGAGCATGTGGTTTACCATTGGCACCAATGCCCACCAGATATAAGGACTACTATATTAGATGAATTCCTCGTGAGTAACTATTGAGACATGTTTGTACTATATTTTGCTCTTTATGAAATTTGCAAATGATGAGTGCCTTACTGGGATACTGCAGAAACGGTACAAGTGGTCGCCTGGCCATGAAGAGGAGTGTCAAAAAATATTTGACCGAAAATCGGTTAGACAGCTAATGAATCTCTTTTGCTATGAGAAGCAAAGGGTTAGACAGGTGTTAGCATCAAAAAAGACCAAGGCTCCATCGGTTCGTAGGGCCCATGATGAAATGGAGCTAGAACATGATGGTGGTAGAGAAGATCCAGATGAACAGCGAGGAAAAGCGTCAGTAATGGTACTTGAGCATGAAGATCCGCTGAAATGGAAACCATTTGTCCCTGTATGGATGAAGCCAAAATGGTGGGAAATGTTGTGTGACCATTGGGCCAAAGACGAGAACATCAAGATGTCTTGCCAACAAAGGAAGAATAGGTATTCAGGAAAACGCCCCCGTAATGCTGCATGCCCACCAAAGATAGGACTGCATGAGGAGATTGTGGTACGAACGAAGAATTGAAATCCTGCTTTTTGAAATTTATTTCATCATGATTTGATGATTCTGGTGTGATTAAATAGGACTTGGATAATGGTGGAAAGCTGGGGGTTGACATTGATTCACCCACTAATATATTGAGGGAGTCTGTTGACCAGAGGGCATGTCGAACTGAGGTAACTACCTTTTTAATGTACTGGGATTAACAATTCTGAAGACTAAAGTTATTAAGTGATATTGACTCCATATGCCAACCAGATGAATTGTTTTGACATGCCTTCTTTTTTCAGGATAAGAGGGATCAAGCTAATAGGGAGGCACAGAGCATTCAGCTAGGTTCCCATTCCGTGCAGAGACAGGCAGGGAGTGGGAAGCAAGGGAGGCACTGTGGTACTATCAGTGTCAGCAAGAAGGCCCAATGCAAGCCATTATCTAAATCCTCCCCAGTTTGTGTGAGCAAACGAGGACAGCAGCCGATGTTCACAAAAGAACAGGTGCAAGAGATGATTACTCAAGCCCTGCAAGGGTTAAATGAAGCTTGGGGGAAAAAGTTTTTGTCCTTGGAGCAAAAGATGCCCAGCATTTCCTCATCGCACACTGTCCCTAATGTTAGCAAATTACAGCTGTCCATTCAGTTCATATAGCCATGAAAATCGGGTTGCTTGATTTGTCAATGGCGTTCGTTTGCACTTGCAGGGTGTGAAGGAGTCATCATTGGCTGTTGGAAGAAGCAAACGGTGCAAACTGGCACGGCAGGTACTAATGTAATCTGCTTCCTGCCTATTCATATGTTTGCATGCCCTACTATTTGCTAGCGAGAAGCTACTGTGAAACCTGCATCTATATATATATCCTTGCTCTGATTAGCATTTCATCCATGTAAAAGGAAATGTGGTGCTAGATTTATTCTATCAGGATCTCATAAGTTGATCACTAGACTGTAGTTGCAAACTTTGTATGGCTAAGTATTTGCAAATAACATAGTATGATCTACAATGTAGAAACAGTGATAAATGAAGATATACTGAAACATGATACTTTGCAGTTTACTTTCCTAGATGATGAAATGATTAACCCATATGCATGTCATGATGGGAATGGTAGACAATGTTTTATCTCTTCTGAAATATATTGAAACTGGTCAAAATCACGCTTCTACTGTGCTGCTTCGCGCTTTGATAGTTCTGTTACAACGGGATGTGTGTATAGAAAAGATGACATCCTTAATTCCCTTGACTATGGGGATTGTAAGGTTGTGGGTTGTGCAAATCCTGACAAGGATTGTATTTCGTTTGGATTATATATGGACCCATGCATTTTCTTATATTCGTTATGTATGAGTAAAAGCCATATTTTCTGGAGTTCCTGGAACCCACCATGTGTAGCCGTCATGAAAGGATAGCTTCTTTACTGATATTCTCACTCACGCGTAACAGATTCATTCACCTAATAAAACAGGAATATTTGCATCCTTTGTTAGACAGACTGCAGTACATTGTTTAATTTGTTTGCAGCTATTTAACTTAAAACTGTTTCAACGAGTGCGGCCTTTAGGCTCTTTTTGCCGGTTAGATTCCTGATTAAATGCGAAAAGGTTTTAAACCTACTTCACATAATTTCTGTGTTTACAGGATACATTAGATTCCATGGACGGAGAAGATCCAGATGCGGAAGATGATAGTGATTACCAGGAGGAGGAGCATTCGAGCTGAGCCAGCCGTGAGCTTGCTGTGGGCTGTGGTTCAGAGATCTCATTTCTTTCTGGAGTTTGTGCAGGACGGTGCCTAGGCAATTGGCACTGGAGCCAAGTAACTGTGCCGGTTGGCCACGGTCCGCGTGTAAATTATGGGCATGTTTCAGCGAATGAGCGTCGTAGCGGTTTCTTACAGGTTTCTTCTACGCTGCCTTGTCTCAGAGGTAGCCTCTCCAATTATCCATGCAGTTTGGCACCCCCTAGCGCGTAGGGGTGCATCGGCATCTCATAGCTCCCTTAGTTTCGAACTTTCAAGAGCCCCTGCCAAGCTTGGCTGCTTTTTTGGCCACTCTGTGGGCATCGTGACGCTCCCCACTCGCGCTTCCCGCGCTTGTCAAGGGCTTTCTTTACGTTTCCTGCGTCACGACACCGTTTCGTTATGCATGATGGAATAGTTTGGCGCTATGGTTTGTCAACCTGCTGTGGAGGTAGGTAGGTGTCGAGTGCAACTATGTGATGGGGCGAGTGATGAATCGTGGTGTTTACTATTGTATAAATTCGGGAAAACCAGAAGTCTCCTAGACGTGAATTCGTGACAGGTTCTCACGATGTCTTTGTGAAGTACACCCGGACCTTTTTTGCGAATGTAAACACGCCGGTCAGTGGAAGCTCGAATTTATTCAGTCTCACTCTCGTTGTCTCGGTCTCACTTACTACAAGTCAACTAAAACAGATCCTATGGACGAAAAGGATGCCGCTGCAGGAGACGACGACGAGGACAAGGAGGAGCGATGGCGCGCGCTGAGGCAAACGTGTGAGTTGTCTTAGATCTCGCTCCTTTCGGGAGCTTGCTGTGCAGGACCAGGACGGCGCCTTAGCATTGGAGCAAAGTGCTTGTGTCGGCATGAACTTTGGGCGCGGTTTCGTACGGTTTTCCTTAGCCTCGGAGGTGGCGTCTCCATGCAGTTTCAGCCCTCACCTGGTACAGGTCGTAGTCGTATGCGACCTGATCGCACCACAGCTTGGCGTGGCCGCGGGGCGTGGCAGCGCAGAAGCCGGCCGGCAGCCCCAGGACCCAGGGAGCAGCCCAGCTCTGCACTGCACCGCTTTGCCGCCGGCCACGCGGCCGTCACGCGGGAGCTGTCGAGTGAAAGCGCGGGCGCGCGCGCGCGGCACGCGGCACGCCACCTGCCCCGTCCGTCCGTGCGCGCCCACGCGTTGCCCCCCCGTGGGCAACGTGAAGCTACCACCGCCTGTCTGGTTCGCGCGCCCTCCCGCCCCGCCCCCCGGTTTCCTCGCACCCACGACGCCGCCTGTGGCGCGGCGCTGCACCGCCGTTATGCTGCGCGCGATCGAATCGGACGGAGAATAAGTTCGGCTCGGCGCCATACTCTGCCGTCGTCAACGTGCTCCGCGGGTTAGGTTAGGTTGCGCCGGCCGAACTGACTGACTGACTGCGTCGATTGGCTTTTTTTTACTTTCTCGAATACGTAAAAGATTTACGTATCATTACACTAAGAAAAAAAAATTAAACATATAGACAACACGTTCCTATTGGCTTCTTTTCTACTACTCCAATATATAGTACATTCTAGAAATTTTAGTATAAATTAAGAGAATATAAAACGCATGTATCCTCATTTTATTTTCTAATTAGACGCTATTATGGATGTGATTGATGGAGATTAGTTGACAAATGTAAAATATTCAATGTAAAACTAGTTTTTGTCCTCTAAAATGTATTATATTTAAAGATAAATTTTGAATGGTTGAATGCACTATATTAGAGGTCAGATGAGCTATAATCGTGTTTGCCGAACTTTATTGCCACGGTGCAGGTGATGTGCTATTCGTTCGTTATGCGTTGGAATTCAGTCATCCATACGATTTGTGCAAACGACGCTGATTTGTGAACCAAATCCCAAATTGCTAGACGCTATCGAAACAACCGGCCGGTCAACGTGATTCAACCACATGCCTAGAAGATTTCCTCATATATCCGCATGCGGCTTCGGTTGCCTCCCGTGTCCGTTGCTTTTCTGCCACAACCATACGTGGTTGGATCGTGTTAACTGGACACGTGACAACCTCATGACATATATGCAGGAGACACGGTGGATACAGTTTGCACCAAATTTTTTTTTTGTTGGAACCTAGGAGACTGACTTGACGCAAAGACGAGAAACAAAAGAAACCGTCGGTGGAATTGGGACAGGGAAAAAAGGGAGGAAAACGATACCGTCGGCGGGCGGCGTAAGGTCTGAAACGGACAACACCGTGCAGTCGGCGAGCGGTTGGGACCGAGTCGAGGCGGGAGAGAAAAAGGAGGAGAGGAGAAAAAGAAAAAAGAAAAGAATATATGGCGCGCCGGTCGGCGATCCGCGATCGATAAACAAAAGGCAGGGCCCGCGTCCACTGGCGTCTGAGCTGTGCGTCTGCGTCTGCGTCTGCGTCTGCGTGTGGAACGGAGAAACCTCTCGCGGCGGGACCCATCCGCCCGCCGCCGCCGCCCCTGTGGCCGCGGCCGCGGTCGCGCACGTCACCATCCGGCTGCCGGGGCCGGCTGACGTGTGGACGGCTGGACGCCGTGACGGTGGCGGCAGTCACAGCGCCCCGCTGCGTGCGACACGATCCGGTGATCCGGTCCCGGCGTTTTTGCGGGGGAGCGACAGCGCGAGAGGGGAGATACGGGTGCGGACGGTGTGAAAACACGCCGTTCGCTTCGATGATTTGGAAGAATCTAAAAAAATTTATGAGAGAAAAATACTATTTCGGATAAAAAAAAATGAATCTAAGCCGAATTTAAGATCACGCGAACGGGGCCGCTGCCGCGGCGCGGGCGGACGGGCCGGGTGGACGACGACGGACGTGACACCCACCGCACGCCTCGCTCGGCCGCTCGGTGCTGCGTCCTGCACTCCTGCGCATGTACGCTTCTCAGGTTTGGACGTCATATGCGGTTTCGTTCAGGGCCTGGTTTCGCAGGTTTAGCGGCAGCTACATCCAATCCAGATGATTTCTTGTTTTTGTTTGTGTAAACGTCCAGGTGAAACTCTGGCTACAGCTACAGATATCTACTCTTGGCGGCAATGACTGTCTGGTTCAGACCATGACCATGGGAACATGCGTTCAAATTTGGTTATCTGTGATTGAATCTAGTAGTTGCTTGACCCAGTCGGTTTTCTTAGAGTTGCTACCAAACAGGCCATAATAGTTGCTCCATCTGCATGGTAGTATTAGTAGTAAAAACATAGAGACCTTAGCATGAATGGGCAATTTCTCTGAAGAAATTACGACCAACATTTCATTTAGCCATGCGAGGTGTAACTGCGAGGTTAAAAAACAGGACGATGTTCATTTGCTACTAGTAAACAGTAAACATAACACTAGCATACTACTTTTTGGCAAAAGAACACATTAAAATTAGTGGATTGTCTTCGTAGATTAGCCGTGGATACCTGCCACGGATTCACGACATAAGTATTCAAAATGCTCGGGGAAGTTATCCAACTGCTTCTTCTAAATATTGGATGTTTGTATATGAACACAATAGTTTCTTGCGCAAAAAAAAAATGAACACAATAGTTTCCACCACTTCAATTTAAAGAAGAGACTACTTCCCCCAATACAATATATTATTAAAAAACATACTACTGTTAAACCGTGCAGAAGTAAACTGCAGATATTGTGAGGCAACTACTACTAGTAGGTGGGTACGCCAGGCAGCTTGCAGCCGGCAAAGCACAGCAGACAACACAGGAAGACGCGGTGTAGGTGACCGGGCAGTAATGAAACAAGTGGTAGTTTTCCGTTTTCCGCCGCCCAAATCCGGCGCTGGTGACCGGGCGGCCCCTCCCGCTGTGCACGTAAGCAATATCCAAATCCCCGCGCGGATCCGGCTGTCGTGTGCGCGCTGCCGCCGCCGTGGCAGGCAAGCAAGGAAGACGCGGTGCAGGTGCGGTGCGGCCGCCCGTCCCCCTCACCCCACCCCGGCCCCGCCGCCGAAGAAAGCCCCCCCTTTGTTTTTTCCACCCCACACATCCGCGCTCCACTCCACGGTCGCCGTCGCCTCCTCTGAACCCGTCGCCGTCACACGCCTCGCGCGGCACCGCACCGCGGGCCACGCGGCTCGCGGCGGGACCGGAAGCACCGCCGGGCCCCGCCCCCGCCGCGCGCCGCGCGCCCCGCGGGACCGCCCACTCGTCTCGTTCGTTCGTGCGGGGCAGGGTACGCAGCCGGTGCCGCTCGTTGGAGCGCGACCGCGACGCGTCGTGCCGCGCCCGGGCGCCCACCCGCGCGTCTCTGGAAATTGCGACGTCTCTGCATGGCTCGTTCGTTGGGCCTTGGGCGGGCGGGCGTCGTGGAGTGCGGCCGAAAGCAACCGAGACGGACGGTGGGCGGAGCGGCGGCAGGCACACCGTTGGGTTGGTTGGTTGGTTCACTCGCTGCGCTGCCGCTCCAAGACGTTGATGTGCTGCACGCAACGACCGGCGCCAGGTTGCACTTTACCGTTCACTCCATTGCTTCGGACGTGTGGACGGGGAAGTGATTATGCCAAGATGCGCAGCTGGGTGAAGCTTTTCCTATGTGAGCATGTGTGTTGCAGAGCCACGCGGAACCGATTCGTGCTCGTTGGTTTGATTTCTTTTATACGGTACTGCCTTTGGGTGAACCTAGGATGAAGAGGCAAACCTACTCGGTTGTGACTTGTGAGTGCAGATATATCAGCTAAGTTCAAGTTCTTCATCAAGACAGATTTAGGTATTTATTTGGTGTTGATTGCTCAGCTGGGTTTCAGATGATGACGTTATGCAGCTGGATGAAGTGTGACTTGACCGGCTATCCTATGCATCAGGCTCGCTTGACCTGGATCATATAGTAGAAAGGAAAAGGAACGGTACAGGTACAATGCATTCCGAAGGACCACGGACACTGAACAAGTGAGGGAGAAAATACGGTTACCGGCCATACACGGACACGCACCCGTACAACCCGCGCACTGAGTGAGCGCATGCAACGCAAGCAGCCGCGGCATTCCATGTACGGGCGAGCAAACGTCGGAGGCCAACGCGGGACGGCCGCCCCCATCTCCCTCCACCTCCGTCGCTGTGGGCGCCTCGCCTGTGGCTGTGGGTCAAACCTCCCCTCCCGCTGGCTCCTCCTCACCTCCCGCCTCCCCTATTAATACCGCGCATCCACCTCCCTTTCCTCCCGCACTCCAGCCCTGCCTGCCCAGCGCACCAACACAACAACCACCACCATCGCCACCGAGCGCTGCGCCGCTGCCCAACACTTGGCATCGTCCTCCGCCGTCGTCACTCCTTCCATGGCGCCCAAGAACGCTCTCCCCGCCGCCAGCGCCGTGACCGACGGCATGATGGAGCCCAGGTTCCGCGGCGTCCGGAAGCGCCCGTGGGGCCGGTACGCGGCGGAGATCCGGGACCCCGCCAGGAAGGCCCGCGTGTGGCTCGGCACCTTCGACACCGCCGAGGCCGCGGCGCGCGCCTACGACGCCGCCGCGCTCCACTTCCGCGGGCCCAAGGCCAAGACCAACTTCCCCGTCGCGTTCGCCGCGGCCGCGCACGCGCTCCCGCTGCCGCTGCCGCCGCCACCAAAGAAGAAGCTGGCCGTGAGCCCCAGCAGCAGCACCGTGGAGTCCTCCTCCCGGGACACGCCCGCCACGCCGCCCAGGGCTCCGTCTCCGGCCCCGACGGTGATGCCCGCGCCGTCGCTCGACCTGAGCCTCGCCATGCCGGCCATGGTGGCCGCGCAGCCGTTCCTGTTCCTGGACCCGAGGCTCGCGGTGACCGTGGCCGTGCCGGCGCCCGTGCCCTGCCGGCCGACCGCTGTCGCCGCCGGCGCCAACAAGCAGGCAGAGGCAGCAGCATCCTGCCGTGAAGACGACGAGCAGAGCGACACCGGGTCGTCGTCATCCGTCGTGGACGCCTCCCCGGAAGCCGTCGGCGTGGGGTTCGACCTCAACATGCCGCCGCCGGCCGAGGTGGCATAGGTGGTGGACCGGCCGCAACGCCCGATGACACGACGCGGCTCAAGAGGTCGCGTACGCGTAGATGATTAGAGCTTGTATTAGTACGAGGTTGGTTGGTTACTCGATCGTTTAATTTGCCGCGATGAGTTACTACTAGGTGTACATAGATGTTTTTTTCGCATCGGTGGCTAGGTATAACAAAAGCTACTGTCTGCCGATGTTACAAAACAAAATACTACAAAAAAATGTTTTGTCCTTCGTTATTTGTAACATATTAATTCGCTGATTAACGAGAGATCTACCGTCTTTTGCTCCTATTGTCTTGTATATGTTCTTCTAAGTACCTGTTGATTTGACTACGTTTGTAAGAGTTTTGAGGGAATGATCATTAAATCAATGATCATTAAATCAATAACGTGCTCAAATCTTACTTTTGAATCCGATAATTTGATCTCAGCAGCCTGCTTTATCAAGAAATATGGTGCGGAAAAACCAAAAGAAGTCTTCTTCTTAACGAGCTTAGCACCAGATCGAGTAAACACCTGTTGCTTACTTACAGTGCAAGCATACAAGGCGCGTTGAACCGTTCGTTCTCAATGTGAATTTCTGTATGCGCACCCAGACGACCGGCTTGACAACCACTGATGAGAGGACGACGACCTGAGACGAGACGACTAGGAAAACAACACCGCGAGCTCGGAGGCTGGGTCGCGCCGCGCGGCGAGCTGGCCAGTGTCCCCCGACTCCGAGAGACGAACTGGTCCACCCGTACGCGCTGCCGTCACCTCTCTCCTGCGCACGCGCACGCCGCGACGCAAGCATTGGCATAGCAGCAGCCAGTCGGGATCGCCAGCGCGCCCCCGCGGCCCCACGCGCGTTTGACGGCTTCCTGTCGCTCGCGCAGGCGCTACTATCTTCGGACCGCGGCAAGCTCCCCGCCACGACGACCCCGAGCAACACGAGGCAAGGCGCGCGAGGCGGGTCACCCGCGCCGCGTCCTCGTGGAGTCATGTGATAGAGTATCAGGCTAACCTATGAGCTTCCGCGCGGCACTGTTTTTTTGAAAGGCACCGGTGGATTATTTTGTTCAGGCGGCGGTAGCTTTGGGAGCTCCTGCAAGCAAACCGTAAAGCGTAAACCACCTCTGCTTTACCTGGGTTGCTTGGATTGGTCCAATACAATACGTACGTAGCGCAAAAATACGAACACAAAAGTGATGATAATTCACTATGCTCTTATCAAAATTCCTTTAAAGCTCTGAACACTGGGATATTATATTTTTTTATACATGTATCAATACAATTCGGCATGAGATTTGTACACAGAATCACGCGTGAATACCCCCTAGCCTGACTACCGCGAGCGCGAGGCTAAGGTGTGTTTAGTTTGCAAAATAAAAATTTTTAGATGTCACATCGGATGTTTCGAGGATGTCAGAAAGGGTTTTCGGATACTATTAAAAAAACTAATTACATAGCTCGCCTGAAAAACTGCGAGACGAATTTATTAAGCATAATTAATTCATCATTAGCGCATGTTAGTTACTGTAGCACTTATGGCTAATCATGGATTAATTAGTCTTAAAATATTCGTCTCGCGATTTCCAACCAAATTGTGTAATTAATTTTTTTTTTCGTCTATATTTAATACTCCATGCATGTGCCGCAAAATTCGATGTAATAATTTGGGGTGAAAATTTTTGGGAACTGAACCAGGCCTAAGCAAAACTTCGTTTCGCTGAGGGAAGCCCCTAGAATGCAAGCTGCTAAACAACCTGTTTGCTGATTGGTTTCTGGGTTAATAAGTTCGGCCGGTACTGGTTTGTTGGGAGAAAAAAACATTATTGACTGACTGATAAGCCCTGAGTGAAACGAACGAACGAACAGGCTAAGTGTCGCAAAAATGATTAAAAGAATTCGTGAAACAAGCGACCAAGCTCGAGCTGGGAAAAAATTGACGGCAGTTGTTGGGGCGTAGGGAACGGCGGGTCGGATTTGTCCGAGAATCCAGTGACATGTTGGTGGTTGTCTGGTTGGTTTTACTCCTTGCAGGAGGTGCCGCATCGAGTCAAGCTGGGAGAAAGACGGGCAGTAACTTGGATGTTTTTGGCCATTTTAGCTGAATCTGGGCGACGCGAGGCCACACGATGGTCTCCGTTCATACCTGAATGGTTGAATCGTTAATCACGTATGCGCTTTGGAGGGAAACGGCTATCGTGAGCAGAGCACACAAGTTGGCGCGGAAAGGGAAAGCAAGCACACAGGTCTCCGCCGTGCCCTCCTCGAGTCAGTCTCCACCGCCAGGTCTTGAGCTGAGAGCTCGATCCGGATCGGAGCCTGCAATTAGGCCATTTAAGTCTTTCAATACGCGGCCAGATTCGCCCAGTCTCCACCGCCAGGTCTTGAGCTGAGAGCTCGATCCGGATCGGAGCCGGCCAGGGCCAGTCGCCCAGTCCATAGGGGAGGCAGCAGTAGCACCGCACCTTTCCGTTCCGATTCCAAAGCCGCCCAGCCACACGCGAGGCGGCGCGTGCCCGCACGGAACCGCCACACCTCGGAGGCGTCGGCGGCTTTGGATCTCGGGCGGCGCCGGGGCCAGAATAAACAAAAGGAGCCGCCGCCTTTGCACGAGGCGGACTGGCGTGCGGACCCAACCCAACCTCACCTCCAGCGGAGACGGCGAGCTGGCGCGGTGCCCATGCTTCCACGGGGAAATTAGGTGGCGCCTCGGATCGTGTCGGCCGCCGGGCCACCAGCGTCCTCCCGCCGCCTGCGGGACAGCGCACGCAACCTGGCGCCGCAGCGGCGGGTCAACAAAGCACGCTGCCAGATCTACTAGTCCGCAGCACTCGGTGACGCGACATCGTCCGATCCAACCCGGCCGGCACCGGCAGTGCGGGTGAGCGGTTAACCAACCAACCTCTCTCAGCTTCGTGCCGTCGGATCATGTCGATCGAGGACGAAAAGGCCAAGTCCAGGACCAGGACCAGGACCAGGACCACGGGTGGCCGAGCGGATGGACAGTCCACAAGCCTAGAGCCCTAGATCGAGCACCCATCTGCCCAGCCAGCTGCGCACGCTCACAGGCGTGGTGCCGACGGGATTATCCTGCAGCCACGCCACGCACCACCGCTAGGCGCACGAGCCGTGCGCCCGTGCCCGATGCCGTGGAGGCGCGGGCACATCGCTTCGGCTGCACGTTTCTGCGCCGCGGCAAGCAGCGGCGCGCGCTAAGCGACGAGCGGCGCGGCGGCACAACTACTCCCACCGACGCAACACGGCCGGTGTGGTGTGTTGCCCGCACCGCACGGCCGCTGCCATGACGCGAACGCGCCAACGCCTCCGGCCCTCCACCTCCACCTCCACTACACGCAGAGGGCAAGCGGTGGACCAACTGGCGGGACGAGAACGCCACAAGAGATGGCTGAATGAACCACGGGACATCGAGAACCCAACTACCCAAGGGAACGCCAGCCACAAAGTCGAAGCCTAGAACTTGTCCTCCTTGCCCAAACATGCCATTGCAATCTCACCCTTTTCTTCAGTATTCTGTAGCACGCCAATTAGCAAGACAAATAAAATCGACCACCACCTCAAGCATCCCCACGGATACAGATTGCCGTGGCAAACAGCTAACGGGCACAGGCGACTTCTCCTAGCATTTCGTGAGGATCTCGGCTCCGGTCCTGGTGATCAGTATCGTGTGCTCGAACTGCGCCGCCAAGCTGCCGTCCGTCGTCACGGCAGTCCAGCCGTCGTCCCACATGTCGCAGTCGATGCTCCCCATGGATATGATCGGCTCTGCACAAGAAAGTTAGGCGGCGCTAGCATCAGTCAGGAAGGCAAGAACACTGCTACACGTCGACAGCAAAAGAGAATTCAAACATGGCTGGCTTTACTCCGCGTGCAAGACGTGGAATGAATTAGGAAGCTGCGAACCTATCGTGAATGTTTGCCCTTCAATCATCTGACCCGGCCTGTTGTTCCCTGTTGCAAGCACATCACAACAAGGTCTAAAAATTGCACACTAAAATAAGAAAACAAGAACAAAAAAAAACTACTATTACAAGATCAATATCTCAGAGATCTTACAAATTTATCATTAATGACTCTACTATTATCCATCCTTTTGTAGTTTTGTGGCATACATATAAGCATGACAGACTTAGTGGACTTAGTGGGACTCTGCTCTTATAATTTTCATGCTTTGGCTAGGCACATGATGGTCCCAGTTTGTATAAGAGGACTTAATATCAATCAAATTAATTATATACTAAAGCAGAAAGTCTGCAGTCTGGAGGTTTTTTCTTTTCTGTTCTTTTTCAATAGAGAAACACAGAGAGACATCTAAACTTCAACATAATTTGCTTTTCACCTAAGCAGTGCTTATCCATTAAAATGTTTATTCTCAGGAGAAAATCTACAGCCTACTGTTATACTCTATTTACGTAAATCTTAAAGTACTAGTGTGCTAAGCCTTTGAAGTCCTCAACTACAATATGCACTGCCTATCATATATCGCCAAAAAACATTGACTTACGCTGGTGATAGATAATTGGTTCTGAGTGAAATACTCTGCCAACTCCATGCCCAACAAAACACTCCACAACACCAAATCCGTTCCTCTCAGCATGCTCACTGAAATGTTCAAACAAATCAATGGGTAAACGTTATTAAAGTAATATCTAAGATGAAGTAAATTTTGGTATAGCCACACCAAATCATGTAGGACAACGGACAACATTAACAGTAAACTTGTTTTCAAATTCGTTTAACATGCGAGAGACACAGTGAAAGGTCATTGTGTGGTTTTGGTAATTGAGTGACAACCTAGGTGGACTAATTGTGTTTATGTGAAATACACAGGTGATTAGTTCACAGGTACATGTGTGTGAGTAACATATGCCATGAAGGTGAAAATGGCGCGGAGATGTTGCAAAGCTCACACATGTGATGATGAAGGAGCTTATTGCACATGAGACATGACATTGAGTCATGTGATCAAGATGGAAAAGATCATGACAAGACTTGGCTTGATAGACCGGTTGCAAGCGTGAAGGGCAAGTCGGAGGCTTTGGAGCGATGGACCGCGTGGCGGTGAAGCTTGAGCAAGACTTGGCGCCGATGGACGAAGGCAACGATGAAAAGCAAGTGAAGTCAAGATCGATGAACCAATATGATCACGTGACGATATGAAGTGGATCATATCATTGTTGATCATGTTGGTGCATGTGTCCAAGATCATCGAAATCGGAGTTCGGAGCTAAGAGTTATAGCCGTTTTAGCGCTGAAAGGTTTATTACCGGACTCTGCGACCTGCGCGTCCGGTCAGCACCTGCGAGTCCGGTCACAGCGTTCGGTTAGTGTTTTTAGCGTGCCTAGAAGCGACCGGACGCTGGGAGAGTCCGGTCAGTGATGACCGGACGCGTCTGGTCGCTGAAAAATGTCTCTGGAATCTCTCTGTAAGTGACCGGACGCTGGGAGAGTCGCGTCCGGTCGTTATGACCTGCGCGTCCGATCAGTGCGTGTTTTGCCCAGTGAAGAGGTAACGGCTATTTTAGCCCTTGGAGCTATAAAAGAGTGTGTGGCCAGCCTTAGGCTGGTTGCTGAGCACCCTCACGCCTATGTGGCTTGTGTAGGAGTGCTTGGATGCCCTCTAACTCACTTGTGCTTGCAAGAGTGCGAATCGATTACGAGTGAGTGTGATTCTAGTGCGTTGCATTGTGAGATTGCATCGAGTGGCACTAGGTGATCGAGTTGCAAGCCGGTGGTGCTTGTTACTCTTGGAGGTTGCCACCTCCTAGACGGCTTGGTGGTGGTCTCCGTCGAAGCCCGCAAGAAGCTTGTGCGGTGCTCCGGAGAAGAGCTTTGTGAGGGGCATTGTGCTCGTCTCGCGGGAGCCGCGAAGAGCAACTCTAGTAAAGCGTGTCATTGAGCTACCCTCGCTTTCGGGGTAGGTTCTTATGGTGCCTGACGTGCGGGCTTGGCGGGTGATGCCAATTTAGCCGCCGAACCACCAAGTGAGTGATCGACACAACGGGGACTAGCGTGTTGGCAAGCACGTGAACCTCGGGAGAAAAATCATCGTGTCAACTTTGTTCTTCCCATTGGTTTGCATCCTCGTTATACAAGCTTGTAATTACTTTCATATACATTGTGCTTGTGTAGTTGCTCTTGTAATTAGTTTGCTTATGTAGCTCACTAGTTACCTTCTTGCTTGTGTAGCATAGAAGTAGTCCCTTACATGACTATTTTTGTTTGTGTAATATTATTAGTCACATTGCTTAGTTTGTGTAGCTAAGTATTTGCGCTCTCTAATTTCATAATTTGTCATTGGTTGCCTTGTTATTGAGCATTGCTAGTGAGCTTAGTTGGCTTTGTGTTTTTGCTTACTAGCATGTGTAGAAGCTCCCTGTTGCGTAAAGTATTAGTGGCATAGGTTTGTGTGACCTTGCTTTTAAAATTGGTTAGGTGAGCTCTAGCTAACCCGGCACCTTTATTGCTTAATTAGGATCTTTGTAAGGTGCTAGAGAATATAGATAGAGGGGTATAGTCTCGGCTAGACCGATTGTTATAATTCCGCACTTGTTTCGGTTAGCCAGCGCGATTAGATTTTAGTAACGACTATTCACCCTCCTCTAGTCGCCATCTTGACCTTACACACGGTGAATGGTTGTGTAAAAATATACATCTCTACTATTAAGACGAAACTGGCATCGTCCACACCCTGGCTTCGTTCTGCCCCCGACTTGCGCGAGCCCTCGACTCCCCGCATCCTCCCACGCCGACAGGTGGGACCAGGCTCCCTCTGTTGTTCCTCCCACTCCCTCCACAATCCCATGCTCCCACCCGACCTCCCCTGTGTCTACCAAAAGCTCGCCCCTCCCAACTCCCCATGTGTCCCAAACCCTAGACCCGCGCCCCTCGTCCTCGTCCTCGCCCTCGCCCCGGAGGCTGCCCCGCGCCCGTCGCCCTTTTCCCGGAGGCCTCCCTGCGCCCCTCGCCCTCACCTCGGAGGCCGGAGCGTGCGACGACCTCACTCATAAGCGCCCGAGCGCCGTGCAGGCGGGTGCTCCTTCTGCCTCGCTCGCCCCTTGCCCCGTCGCTTTGGCGCCCTTGCCGCCGCTGAAGCAAAGCAGCCTGGACATGGACGCGGGAAATGGCGCCCGCCTCTCCGCCTCCTCCTGTGGCGGCGACAACACGTGGGCCCCGCCCTACTCGATGGCAGCAACCCGGGCCGCCAAGCCTCCGGATGCCAGCCACCAGCTCCAGACCAAGTTCTCGCAGGTAATCGTCCGATCTGACCATCTTCCCAAGATCAGGTTTGACTGAATCAAGTTTTGTTCTGGAGATTCGTACCATCCCAGTGTACCAATTTATTTGTGGAAGGCAGGGCCATTTGCTAATTGCATATGATGATATGATGCAGCTGCACATAGGTCGGTGAAAACCTAGGTCTTTGCACCTGCATTTCTATAGGCAAAAGAAAACCCAAGGTCTATGTACTACGTACTGTCATCACTGGGTAATACTGAATTAGACAATGCCTACTGAATCAGACAGTGCCAAATTCGAATGTAGTAGGTTCTGGGTAAAATTTCCATTTTGCGCTAAGGCTGCCCAAAAAGGTACGGGTGAGTGCCTTACTGCCTTATTTGTCTTTCATTCAGCTTGTTGATTTGGCAGTTCTCTAGATGACACGATCATTTTCCTTTCATTCATCTTGTTGATTTGGCTTTGTTGTTGTTGTTGCATCCTATTGATTTGGCGCTTCTTTACGTTTGTATTTTTCTCTATCTCATATTTAGGTAGAGCATGGAAATTGTAATATATATTTCTCCAAGCAGTCATGTTGTGATATTCTGAATCTATGCATACTCTATGAATCTTGCTATTTCAAGTTTGCAGAAAATGTATAAGCTAAAGATCAGTACAGAGTGATCATGATACTGTTGAGAAAATATATGGCACTCTATGTATGGTTTGATGCAATAGTTCTCTGTTGTCCTGTTCTCTGAGAAAATAAGCTTTGAATGATGATTGGCCTCCATTGTCAACCCACGGTGGTAAGAGTCAAGCAGAACTGAGATTGGATCCTTTCTGAATTTAAGTCGGGGAAAAGTTGTACTAAAAGACGACCACTAATGTCATGTGTTTAGGAGAAACTGATACATACTAATTTAGCATTGAACATTGTAGCAGTGTGTTTTTACTCAGGAATTAGATGGGCCGATCAATAGTCCAGTGTGGTCTTTGTTTTTTAATTTCATCAACTGGTATTTGGATTATGGATTGAGGCTCTAATTTAAAATTACCATTCTTTTATCAAATTCAGTTCTGAAACAATATCTTCAAGTGCAGATTATACTATATACCATTTCAATATGCTTGTGCCGATATGTTAAATATCCATGTATGTTCGGTATATTTCTATGATTGTGTACTGCAGACCAGCATATGGGGTATGGGCCGAGACTAAATGATCCAATTAACCTCTCCTTTTCTTTAGTTAACATTGTTAGAATAGGCGCCCACGGGCTGGCCATATGGGCCTTGGCACCCACGCCTGTGTGGGCTGCTTCTAGGGATTATGGTAGATGATTATAGATTAGACAAGGATCTCCGTTGATTGGGTGTATCATAAAACCCATATTTGATCCTTGCCTATATATTGTACCTCCCTGTACTCTATCAATGAATCTACTATTCCTGTGCCATATTGACTTACATGGTATCAGCCACCTAGATCCTTTTTTTCCGCTGCCCTACTGCTCGCGCGCCGGCACTTCGCCGTGCTGCGCCCACCTGCGCGCCGGTCCCTTGCCGTGCAGCGCCGCCATGCCGGCGACTCCCCCCTCTACCCCCAAGGCAGGGGATGACACCGACGCCTCCTCTGCCGCCGCTGGTCACACCAAACCCAGACCGACGAGGTCGCCCTGCGCCTCGCCCAGGAGAAGGCCAACGAGGTTGCCGCTACCGCTCAGCGCCTCGACCGCGAACGCCAGGAGGAGGCCGCGGCCGCCGCCAAGGTGCGCGACGCCGCTGCGCGCCAGCAACGCCCTAGCGCGCGGCCGCTGCTGCCACTGCCGCTCCGAAATCTTCCGGCGCCGCATCAGGAGGTGCACTGGCGCCGACCACCGACCTCCGCGCCGCCATGCTTCTTCACGAGGCTGTTGCCCTCCTGCAGCTCCATGCCCAGGCGGTCGCCGTCAACAACATCCGGAATCACGTCACCATCGTCCTCGACGTCGACTCCGACAACTACAACCGTTGGCGCGATCAGTTCATGCTCATCCTCGGTAAGTTCTCTTCAGGACCACGTCTGCCAGGCCCCTCCAGTCCCTGTCTCCCCTCACTAGGCTCGGATGGACTGCGTCAAGTCCTGGATCGTCGCCACACTCACCGACGATCTCGCCGAGATCATCTCCGCCCAGGGCTCCACTGCTCGGCATGCCTGGCTCGCCGTAGAGTCTCAGTTCCTCGGCAACAGGGAGGCGCGCGCCATCCATCTTGAGACGCGGTTCCGCAACTTCGTCCAAGGCGACCTCTCCATCACCGACTACTGCCGTTGGCTGAAGAAGATGGCCGACGATCTCACGGCCCTTGGTGAGGTCATCACTGATCGCACCCTCGTCCTCAACGTCATCCGCGGCCTCAACGAGCGCTTCAGCCACGTCGGGGCCCTCCTCCGTCGCGCCCGGCCCTTCCCCTCCTTCCTGGAGGCCCGTGACGACCTCATCCTTGAGGAGCTCACCCTGGAGAACCGGAAGGACGCCCCTGCCACTGCGCTCGCCGTCTCTACCACGTCAAGCTCTCCCAGCCCTGCCCCTACGTCATCCGGCACGGGCTCTGGGGGCGCTGGTGGGGGATCCAAGTCTTCCAACAATCGCCGCAGCAAGCGCGGCGATGGCGGCAGTGGCGGTGGCACCGCTGGCAGACAGGGGCAGCGCCCCCCTGCTGACACGCCGCAGCAGCACTGCCACATCGCAGCAGCAAGCCAATGCCAGGAGCTGGCCCACACCCTACAATCCCTGGATGGGATCGGTCCAGATGTGGCCGGGTGGCCCTCGTCCCCCGTTGGCGCCCATCCCGCTGCATCCGCAGCAGCAGGCCTCCTCGCCCAGCAGCAGCAGCAGCAGCAGGCTCTCATCGCCCAGCAGCAGCCTGCTGCTGCACCAGCTGCCATCGACGGCACCGGTCAGTGAGTCGCGCTAGGCTACTACAACCCTGTGACCGGCCTCCCTTCATGGAATCCTTCGGCCCTCGCCTCCGCCTTCAGCACGACGTCGCTGACTCCACCTCAGACCAGCGAGTGGTAGTTCGACTCAGGTCCTACTTCACATATGACCTCTCAGTCCACCTCTCTTTCACATGTTCTTGTCCCGCGGTATCCTACTCCTTCATCTATTGTCGTCGGTAATGGCTCTATTCTTCCTGTCACTGCCATTGGATCCACAGAGTAGCCACATGCTTTGCGTCTTAATAATGTCCTTGTGTCACCACAGCTTATTAAGAATCTCATCTCTGTTCGCCAATTTACTACCGACAATAATTATTTTATTGAGTTTGACCCTGCTGTTGTTCTGTGAAGGCTCTTCCGTCTCGGACCGAGATCGTCAGGTGCAATAGCTTCGGACTGTTGTACCCTCTGCGCCTTCCTACAGCACACTCCCTTGTCGCCCGGGCTGCCTCTCCACTGTGGCATCAACGTCTCGGCCACCCTGGTCATGAGGCGTTGTCGAAGCTTGCGTCTAGTGTTTCTTGTCAGATTGAGGATTGTTCATCTTTATGTCATGCTTGCCGTTAGGGCGTCATGTTCGTCTGCCCTTTCATGCATCCACCTCTCGTGCGTCTAGCAAGTTTGATCTTATTCATTGTGATTTGTGGACCTCCCCAATTGTCAGCATTTCTGGATACAAATATTATTTGGTTATACTTGATGATTGCACTCACTATTTGTGGACTTTTCCTCTGCGCCTTAAGTCTGACACTTTCAGTACGCTTGCTCACTTCATCGCCTACGCCTCCACTCAATTTGGCGCCCAAGTCAAAGCTGTCCAGTGCGATAACGGGAAAGAGTTTGACAACTCCAGCACCCGTAACTTCTTTCTCACCCAAGGCATCCATCTTCGCATGTCTTATCCCTACACTTCGCCAAGCCGAACACATTATTCGTTCTATAAATAATGTCGTTCGCTCCCTGCTCTTTCAGGCATCCATGCCTCCCTCTTACTGGGTCGAGGCCCTCTCCACGGCGACCTCCTTGCTTAACATCTTGCCCACCAAGACTCTCCAACTTTCCACGCCTCACCTTGCCCTCTTTGGCAAGCCTCCAGCATATGATCACCTGCGAGTCTTCGGTTGCAAATGTTACCCAAACCTATCCGCCACTGCTCCACATAAACTCGCTCCTAGGTCCGTCCTGTGCGTGTTCCTTGGCTACTCCGTTCATCACAAAGGATACCGCTGCCTTGATCTCTTCCAACAGGGTCATCATCTCCAAGCATGTCATCTTCGATGAAAATGCCTTTCCTTTTGCCGAGAGAGATGGTCCTCGCATTGCCACGGACTTCGAATTTCTTGATGCTACCGACGTTGTGCCCGTTCCTATTGGACCATCGCACAGGTTTCTGTCTGCAGGTACCTCCCACGGTGCTACCACCAGCGCCCCTGCCAGCCCCTCTGCTGCTGTGCCTGGGGTGCCCCCTACTGCTACTACAAGCAGCGCCCTTGCCGGTGGTTCTACCACTGTGCCTGGGGTGCCCACGCCACCAGCAACGCCTGATGATCCCCCGACGCCCGCGCTCTACATCCCCCCTGCGCTGCGCTCGCCGGCGCCGGGGATCCTCGCAGGCCCGCCCACCGCGCCACGCGCAGCCACCGACGGTTCTCCTGCGCCCACCGTGGCTAGTGCTGGGAACACCTCTGCTCGTCGGCTGAATGTCCCGCCAGCACTTCGCGGGCATCGATGTCTCCTGCAGGTTCCCTGTCACCGGTGTCACCGCCCCGCGGGCCCCCACGGGTTCCCGCCTCTCCGGCCGGAGCGTCTCTTCGCCCAGCACTACACGCGCCGGCCACAGCCTCCTGCACCGGCTGCACCGCCTCCACCGGCCCCCGCTCCTCCGCTGCCCAAGGGTGCTGTTGCGGTCCCTCCAGTGACCAATCAGTACACCATGGCTACGTGTTCGAAGACAGTGTTCACAGCTTCAATTATGAAGATGTATCTCAAGGTTTTCAATTATGAAGATGTATCTCAGTGTTCACAGCTTTAGGACTGTGATCTTGGCTGTGATGCCTTCTCTTTGGGGTATGATGCTAGGGTTCACCTAGACAGTGTTCACAGCTTCAATTATGAAGATGTATCTCAAGGTTTTCAACTTCTTGTGGAAGCTCAAGCGTGTGGATCACTCCCTTACTGGAGTGTGGAAGGTGATGGAGCCTAACTGCATCGTTTCTTCTCCATTTTACATGGAAGGAACAAGCATCGGAGCTCAGTTTGTTTCAGTTCTATTCAATGAAATGAATCACTTTGTGACCAATTTCTAGGACTACATTATGTTTGAGGTCCTGGAGGTTTCATGGGCCCGTTTCTTGGATTACTGAAATTTCGACTGGAGTTAAACTGACTGTTGTCTGAAACTCTTGATAACATGCTGTGCTAAGGATAGCTCATGATAAGATAACATCTATATAATAGCTCATGTAAAGGAGAGAACTGTAGAACAAAGGGGTGGTTATTTATTGTGATTTTGTTTCCCTCCAGTTGTGTAATCTTTCAGTTGGTTTGACTGCGGTTGAAGGGATCTGATGCTGCTACCAAGATATGAAATTAATATAATTCAGTGTCCAAGCTTGTGTACTGCTGACAGCAAAGATCCAATAGAATGAAGGCGAAAAGATAGACTTGAAGAAATCCGTGGGAATATGATGATGTTCAAACTTGTTTCGAATACAAAAATGCATCTTACATGACATGACTGAGCATTGTATTATTTATTAATGAAAATTTGTAAAAACGTATGGCAGTTTTTGTGAATTCAAAAAATAGATGGCAAATAAAGACATTGGGTAGCTTTTTTTTACTATATTTATTGAAATCTTGTTATCGAAATATTGAAAATAAATTATTTTATCTAATTTGAAATAAATATTTTTTTGCTGCTTTCATCATAGTTGTTGATTTAAGGCCTAATATTGTACCGAGTTACTTGTTAGTTAGTCTTCTAAATCATGGGCTGGTGCTAAATGGTTGAGTCAGTTCTTTCTGCAAGAATTATGTTGTCTGTATATGCAATCAAGCAAAAAGACAAGTTTGTACTAATTTAGTCTGCTGATTTCGACTCACTTTTGGGACTCCCGTAGCAACGCACGGGCATCTGCTAGTTACATGAGAAGCTACTAGTACTGCAAAAGAGTTAAAAAAGAGTAGTGTTTTACTGTTCCAAGCAGCCTTTTGCAATGCAAGGGTAGCGAATGAGGGAAATAGTGGCAAAATTTTCAACAGCCAAAGGTGACTCTATTATGCATTTGGCAGAAAAACTCTTGATTCTTCAGTAACATTGCTCCTTTCAACTCTAATGTTTCAAGATCTCAAAAGGCTTCCCTTTTGCCATAACCAACCCAGTAACTATGATGAGAAAACTTCTTTTCGAGGAACTAGAGATATGACTATCATTGCCTTCTTGGCCACGAAAGAAATCAGTGCAAAATATTATACCTTATTCTTCTGCCAATCTTCTTAAAGCTGGTACCATGTTTGCATGTTGATATGCCCCTGAGCAGGCACTCTTCAGTAACCTGATATTAGCATGATACAGTAAGCATCTGGTTCCTGAAGTTTGTGTTGGCAGTCGGCCAACTAGCAAAAGGTATGTACATATGAAATAACAGATAATGTGAGAAAAGAAGCACCTTCTTACACTAATCTTTATCAACCTAAATAGCCAAAACCAAAAAAATAAATCTATACAGATCTTTCAGCATTCTAGAGGAAAAGAAACTTATATGTTGGTAAGATGTTCTGACAATTGTAATTGTGAGGATCCCTCATCATTCATCAATTTAAGTCTAGTAAAAAATCAGAATGTTGGCATGAAATAAAAGCGAATAAGTAGATTACAGTCAGAGTTTGTGAACTTGAGCTGCTAGTCACGACTAGAAAAATAGTACTATTACCTCCGTCCCAAAAAACTTGATGTTTTAGTTTTGTCCTAAGTTAAATTATCTTAAGTTTGACCAAATGTATAGAGAAAATTGCTAACATTTATGACACCAATAGTTATATTATATATGAAATGTGTTCCATGATAAATCTAATGATACTTATTTGGTAATATAAACATTAGTATTCTTTTGCAAAACTTGGTCAATAACACAATATTGTTTGACTTAGGACAAAACTAAAACATCATTTTTTTAGAAGGAGGTAGTAGATTGCAAGAGCAAGCATTGCATCTGCTCCACAGAAAAGGGTAGATACCTTCACAAGTCGTTTACTGGCTTCATCGACTTCTCCACAAAGAAATGTTTTTGAGGTATCCCCATGATATCCCTAAAATGGTGAAGGCACTTTAGGCGATGATAGCCAAATTAAAGTGAATGAGGCAAATAAATAAATAGCATGAAGTGACAATAATTATATATGTCCAAGACGATAAACACGTACATTCAAGTAGACAGTGACATCGATGTTAATTATGTCTCCATCCTGTAAACACAAATGTGAAACGTTTAGTCACGGTGGCTGTGGAAATGTGCAGTTGAAAGGCCCTGAACTGGCACAAAACATGTCAATGTAAGGCTTTCTGAACCTGTAGCTCGCGTGAATCAGGAATTCCATGGCACATACACTCATTCACTGAGGTGCATACACTTTTTGGAAACCCACCATATCCAAGTGGGGATGGATAGGCTCCAGCATCGATGATCATCTTGTGCACTGCTTTATCAATTTCGTCTGTTGTTACAGAGGGCTGATAGAAAGATGCAATAGATTTCTCACTCAAGATATAATGATGACGGAGTGCGCATGGATAAAAAAAGAGATGGTGTCTTATGAACAAAACAAGCACAACAATTTTAGAAAGAAAAAGAAAAGACAAAAACATAAACTGGTACTTTTATTAGCTACAAGAAAGATAAACATAGTGGAGATGCTGTGCTTACTTTCACTAATGTTCCTGCATAGTCAAGAACACGAGCGGCAAGCTCGCAAGCAGCTCTCATGTGGATAATGCTCTCTTTGTCGTGCATTTGTACCTCTTTTGCTATCTCTGGTACATATTTCGTGCCAACATAAGGAGGCCGAGGTATGTTTCCTGGTACTGGAAGAGGTGGGCTAACAGTTCCACGAACCAGGGGTGCTCTTTTCTTTGGTTGTCCAGACTCTTGTGTCCCTGACCTTTTGAGTTTGAGTTTCAGCAAGCGTCAGAACGGTGCACAGGCAAGGATGCAGTTGCAGTGGCAGAGTGGCGCTAGCAATGATATGTCCTACCGTACGTGATTAGACAACTAATTTCGAATTACTGAAGGGAAGCAATAAAGCAACTAGTGGATTTCATACCTCGTACTTTCTTTCTCCAGTCCCCCTAGTCTCTTTGCTTGGACAAGGAAGGGCTTCTTCTGTGGGCATGTATTCCTCCCTTAAAAATTGAAGAGGACACATCGCGATCGAATCAGTAACAGGTGAAGGAATAATAAATGCCCACAGAATCATTCTACATCCACAAATTTCAAGTTTCATATGAACAATCACATATTAACATGGAGAGCAAATACCTCGGCAACCGGAGAGCAACGGAGAGGAGCGGTGGAGCTCCATGGACGGGACTCTAATCGCCATTGGAGCGGGCGGTGCGCTCCCCGAATCTGCAGTGGGGTGGGCGGCAGGGTCGTCGCCAATTTGGATTGATAGTCCCGCGCGGCGAGGGCGAAGAGCCGGACGAACAGAGCAAGAGGATAAGACGAGAGGAAATGGATTTCCACCTCTTCGTTTTGTTCCCACAAGAAGACAGTGGGCCGGGCCGGGTCCAGCAGCTATACCTTGTCCTTGTTCCTAACACTTTTGATGGCCTATTTGGAATGAAGGTTTTTCAAAGAGTAAAATTCACTTTAGATGTTTGAACTTGTTCCACAATCTTATCTAGATCCGTGTACTTAGGAAACCAGGTTTACTGGTCCTTTAACTCGCTAAATGTATCATTTACATCCCAATCCGACTTTGTAAGGCTGTTTTGTCCAGCCTGAACGGCCACGTTGGCCTGGTTGACACGATCTGACCAACTTGGACCCGAGCAGAATATGCAAAAAGGCCCCCGTGTGTGCTGCATTTCATTTCGTGGGCCTGCTTCATCCTGGAGTAGGCGGAGGCGACGGACTCGGCGGACGCTGGGGACGGCAGAGTCATTCAAGACCGCTTGGGCGACGACGGAGAGGGCGCGACCTTTCAGCAGTAGTGGTGGTCTTCTTCTGCGGCTGCGACGGAGAGGCGTGACCCCTCAAAGTGGTGGCTTTTAAGACCGCAGAGCCATGGCCGCTAGGTTTCGCCTTGATGGCGAGCCGCCGCCGGACTACGGTGAGTTCGTCGGAACCCTAATCGCCTTGTTTTGGTGGTTCTTTGTCAATGTTATGGTCTAGGATTACTGTCATGTAGTTGGATTGTTGGGTAAATTAGTGATTTTTAGGGTTTTGATGGAGTTGGTGTTTGGTTAGGATTCTCCATTTCACTGAAGCTCTGTGTAATTTAGGTCCCAATTCGAACAAATTCTCTCTAGAAGTCCATCATGGGGTTTTTTTTCTATGGTCAGGGTGTGAACAAAACCTATGTGATGGTAAAGTCACTTGGGAAGATGGCTTGGAAGCCGAATTGTGGTGCTTTTTTGATAGAAGACCTCATATTGCAGCTTGATTATGTGATTGGCAAGGTTAAGGTGTATTGGCTTTTGCCCGGCAAACAGTTGCATGATGGCCTTAGAATCATTGAATCTGATGCTGAAACCTTAGTCATGAAATAAATTGTTGGTAGGGTGAACAATTTCGTGTTGTATCTTGATCAGTACAACCAGATAGGTGACAACAACATTTGGGATGATGTTGTAATCAATCCAGTTGCTGATTTACCCAAGGTTGTGAGCCATGTTAAGGTCACTTATGTGGATAAGAACCCAAGGGAGAAGCTATCAGACTTTTACAGCCAGTTGCCGAGGAAGGAAGAAGATCAGGGAGTGGACACAAAAGGATCATACTATGATGACAGTGATTATGACTTTGAAGATGGTGACGATGACTTATTTGTGGACAATGTAGATGAAGAGGTGGTGGATGAGGGTTCAGGAAAGGGGAAGAAGGCAAAGAAGGGTATGTCACTAGCTGGTACATCACAAGGAGAATCATCTGGTCCCAAAGATGAGGCATCTAGTTGTTCAGATAGTGACCTTGATTTACCTGATGACTCAGATGGAGAAGGCCAAGTGAAGCTGAAGTCCAAATCATTCAACCCTGAGGATCTAGTCAATCTAACCTTTAAGGTAGGCATGATATTCTCTAGTGTGGAGCTCCTAAGAAAAGCCATCACAGAGTACAGCCTAAAGCATAGAGTTGACATTAGGATGCCTAGGAATGACAGGAGCAGGGTTGGGGCTCATTATGCTGTTGGATGCCCTTGGACATTGTATGCTTCACTAGACAGCAGAACTAAGGCATTCATGGTCAAAACTTATGTGGGAGAACACAACTATATGAAGGAATGGGTTCTCAAGAGGTGCACAACCAAGTGGCTATCAGAGAAGTACACTGAGACCTTTAGAGCAGATAGCAAGATGACACTAGGCAATTTTGCAAGGATTGTGCAGAAGGACCGGAACCTGGCACCCTCTAGGAGCAAGTTAGCTAGGGCAAGGAGACTGGCTATGGATAGGATATATGGTGATGAGCTTGAGCAGTTCAACCTACTGTGGGATTTTGGTAATGAACTGAGGAGGTCAAACCCAGGAAGCACTTTCTATGTTGGTCTCAATGATGGCCATTTCAGTCACATGTATTTCTCACTTGATGCATGCAAAAGGGGGTTCCTAGCTAGCTGTAGGCCTGTCATTTGCTTGGATGGATGTCACATTAAGACCAAGTTTGGAGGATGTTTGCTGACTGCAGTTGGTATAGACTCAAACAATTGCATATTTCCTGTATCAATGGCCTATGTGGAGGTGGAGCCAAAGAGTACATGGAAATGGTTCCTTGAGACCCTCAAGCAAGACCTTGGTATTCAAAATACTTATCTATGGACTATAATGACTGACAAACAAAAGGTTATATACTATGGCTGCTTGATGACTTATCCATTTTTTTAAACTTATTCTGTATTGTATACTAATTGTTTCAATGCATCTGCAGGGACTTATACCTATTGTCCAAGATGTTTTTCTAGAGTCAGAACATAGGTGATGTGTCATACACTTGTACTCCAACTTTCAAGGTCACTTCAAAGGTGAGAACCTCAAAAACCAACTCTGGGCTTGTGCTAGGTCCACAACCGTGGCAGCCTAGGATAGGAACATGGAGAAAATAAGGACATTAGATGCAGATGCACATAGATGGTTAGAACAGATGCCCCCCAACACTTGGGTTAGAGCTTTTTTCAGTGAGTTTCCTAAGTGTGATATGTTGCTCAATAATTCATGTGAGGTATTCAACAAGTACATACTGGATGCAAGAGAAATGCCCATCCTCAGCATGATTATGAAGATCAAAGACCAACTAATGACTAGGGTGTACAACAAGCAAAATGATGTTCATGACAAGTGGCCAGGCCCTATCTATCCCAAGATTAGGAAGAAAATTCTCCATAACTCATAGTGGGCCAACACTTGTTATGTTTCTCCTGCTGGTAGAGGGTTTTTTGAAGTGAAGGACAGAGATTATCCAGTACACAATTAACATCTATGACAAGCACTGTGACTGCAGGAGGTGGAACTTGACTAGCATTCCCTATGGTCATGCCATCTCTTGCCTGAGACATGAAAGGATCTCTGCTGAAGATGTCATACCTCAATGCTACACTACTGAAACTTATAGTGTTGTGTATGGATTCAATGTGATGCCATGTTCTGACAATACCAATTGGATGAATATGAATGGTCCTAATATCCAGCCTCTAATATATGATAAGAAGATAGGAAGGCCACCCAAATCTAGGAGGAAGCAACCCCATGAGATCTAGGGCAAAAATGGACCTTCAATGTCCAAGCATGACATCATCATTCATTGTTCCTGGTGCCATGAGCCTTACCACAATTCCAAGGGTTGTCTACTCAAGAAGGCAGGCATCAGGCCGAAATAACAAGTGAGAAGGTAGCCATCACCTTTTCCATCAGCAACGGGAGATGAGGAAGAAGAGCACGAACTCAATACATAGCAAGAGCGCAGAGGAGTGATGATAGGACAACACCTGCAACCCATAGTGCAACCATTGGAGGTCCAAGAAACTATGTTGTCCTAGATGTTAGCATAGGTGAATAACTTGTAGCTCACCATTTTATTCCATTGTCAATAATGCAGCACAATTTATGCCCACTTGTCTTCATCTTCTTGCAGGTACCAGATCCTATGAACCAGTCACTTGATCATGGGCCTCTCCCTTCCTCATCATTCATCGATAGCAACGAGCCCACTACAAGGCCACTTGTCCTCACAACAGCAACAAAACAAGGAAGGTCCAAGCACAAAAATGCAGGAAAGAAGAAGAATGCCACTACTGCTGGAGAGAAACCTACAAAGAAGAAGAAAAACCACCAAAGCAGAAGAAAGATCCTGCAACAGATCTTGGTTGTGCTGGTGCACCAAAACCGAAACTGATGGGCATGATGCAGTCACGAACCATTTTGTTAATAGCTTTTGGGTACACCTTTGGGTGCATCTTTTGGGTACAACTTTTGGTATACATTTTAGGACACATAGTTGGCACACACACAGTTACAGACCTACTATGACCTGATGTGTTGGATGTGTTAGTTTACTGAAGAAAGTGACATGTGAAGGCTCTAGTTTGGTTTTGGTGAATTGATGAAACCCTAAGTGCTAACCTATTGCTCTATGTGAATATGAGATAGGGTAGCACATTCCAACTGGTGGAGCAAATGGTGAAGATCATGAAGATGGTGATAGCCATGGTGATGATCAAGTGCACGGACATAGAAAAGAAGAAAGCGAAAAACAAAAACTCAAGGCAAAGGTATATTTTGATAGGAGCTTTTGTGTTTTGGTGATCGAGATACTTAGTGTGGCAGAACCGTCCAAAATAGCGTACTTATGGAGGCGCTCGTCTTCCACTAGACACTAAGCACCCCGAAAGCAACTACAGCGAGCGGTGTCCGTCGGGCACACCCCGAGGGAGAACCCAAAAGATCCATATTTTTCCCAAGGATCCAATAATGAGAACGAGTTACAACACAAGTCCATTTCATACATTAGAGTTTCTTAAAAAGTACATTATTACAATACCAAATACAGAGTGCGGAATGATAAACAGTGAAATATTAAAAAAAATAACATCTAGCGATAAGGTAGCGAGGATTCTGTTTGAGCCCACCAGAAGGATCCTCCACACAAGATACTCCTCAAGCATCACCTGCAACAGGGGTAAATAAACCCTAAGTACACAATGTACTCGTAAGACTTATCCGACTAGTGGGAATAGTTTCCCGACTCCAAGGAATATGATAAGCTTATGGCTTGCTGGTTTCTTTTAGCAAAAAGCAACACTAATGGTGAGTCCTTATTTATGAATTATTATTATTAGCCATATTAAGTTATCATCTAGCCAGTCTATATAAGCACCTGTTCTACTTT